AGATTCTAGTATCTCTTGAAATTAACTTCATGTCCATGACCGAATATGTTTTAAGAGTTGCTAATGTCCTAGTGTGGCGCTGTAGGATGAGCACTGGACTGTGAACCACAAAATCAGCAATTCAAACCCACTAGCTGCTCCTCAGAAACTCTATGAGCTGCTATGAGTTGGAACCGACTCAACAGCACTTAACAACAACAGTGTAAAACATGGCAAGAATGAGAAAAGAGAGTTAGTGTTCCTTTTCCTAAAAATAAAAATTTGACATCACAAATACTTAAGATTTCTGAAGTTTGAAGTAATTTTTATTCACAGAAAGAATCTACAGTCTAGATTAAATATCTCTTTTAAAATGTCCTTTTATGGAGTTTTCATGTTAGGAATGCATAGGATTGTGTGTTCAAATATTAAAAAAAGAAACACAAAAATCTTTCAATTTCCCAGTAAGATACATAACTTTCACTATAGTAACAGGAAGTGTATGATTTGTTTCCTCTAACATTAAGTGTTATTTCCAAAATGGCAATACACTGCCAATAATCCTGCTTGAGTAAATGTTCCCAAACCAAAAATAAGATATGTGGTAGAAAAGTATATACCTGAATATTAAAACTTTTTATCCTTTCTGCATTTTACATAATATTTAACATATTACTTTATATAAAATTTTGTAGAATCAATGTGAATCTAATTTAGTTTTAGAAGTTGTTAAGTTTGGGTAACACGTGACCAGAATTAAGTTTTAAACACACATTCTTATTTTTGTACATAAAAAGACATTGCCAGTATTTGTTTTTTAGGCTGTTGAGTTCTTTTGTTTTCATACTTTAGCATCTAGTCCCATGTCATATCATAACTGGGAGACTGTAAGTTATAAATGAATTGTATGTTAGTTAACTTTTCTAATATAAAATTCCTATTTTTAAGTGTTGCAATTTGCCACAAAAACCAATACTAGATGAATTTTAAAAAAACAAGCCAAACACAGGTGCTCTGCTATACCCTCTAGAGACCAAGTTCTTTAATTTCTTCTCCACAAAAATAGAGTCAGATGTAATGGTCTCTCCACACTGGCCATCTGCTCTGCTTTATATGAAGAAGCAAATTAAAATGTGTAATCTTCAAAGTGCAGAACTCTGAAAATGTTACTTTATTGTCTGAAAACAAGAACAGATCAGACAAGAATGGCAGCATGAGAAAATGGTATATACATCAAACATTTATCTGAAGGATCACTAAAAAGCCATATGTCCACATTAAAATTAAATGGAAGGTTGAAGTCATTGCATGAATAAGAACATTTAAAATCTAGCTAATAAGATCAATGTATTTGTAATCTTAACTGAGTTATCCACATAATTGTCTTAATGCTTTATTTTGTTTAAGCAATTAAGATATGCTCATACAGAAAAAAAATTGCCAGTTTGTTCTTTCGGATCAAAACCAAAGGCAAAGCTCTATTACCCAAGAACCACTTCCCCTACAAAAAAGACACAATGATAAGTAACACAAAGTAATTGTAATATTCTGTCACAGGTGGTATTAAATGTAAATTTAGATGTTGAAATCAACATTGTTAATCATAATTTTCATCTTGTCTCATTAAATATGCTTGTTAAATATAGTTTGATGTACACATCTATATAGTTTAATTTTATTATTTTAGAGTTAGGCATTCTTGGAAATATTCACTTGGCTTACTAATTCATTTGTGTCTTCATCCAAATCTCAAGATCATCTTTATAGTTGTTTATATTATTATGCTTTGGTTAATTATTAGGTGGTTTCGTAATTAAATTGATGTCATTAGTTAAGTTAAAATTACAATTTTATTTCCACACTCTTGGGGAGAATGAAATGAATGAATGGGATGAAAGATATAAATGACTATAAACCAAGGGAATAAAGATTATACAGAATTTTCTCTGATAAAGTCAATTTAACTATAGCATAATGATTTATTAGTGAATGTGCAGACTGCTTTAAAAATAAGGAAATCATAGATTCTGATTAAGAGAATAATTCTGATTAAGAGATTAAGTGATCTTTAACAATAATGTGTTTAAATTTCTTATTCTAAGAACAAGATTATGATTGAAAGGGGGAAAAGGTACAGAAGTAAACTCACTAGATCCACAGGAAGTGAAGCAAAGAAAACACATCAATTTCCTAAAATGGTAAGCCACTTAAGATAACAAGCATAGATGACATTATATCCACAGGAAATCACCAAGACTGACACTTTACATTAAACTACATTCTTTTCTTCTTTAAAGATTAATGCAGGTTGTTAAAAGAAAGCTCTCACACTGGAAAGACTAGAAGTATCATAGTAATAAAATACTCACATTTTAGAAAATATCCCATTGCCCAGGCATTACAGAATTACATGAAAAAATTATCTTAATTAAACATAGTTTTTTACTTGTTGCAATTTTCATTATAAAAATTACCTAGAAATCTGTAGTGTTCCAGTAGAGTTGAGTGTTGTCTCCAGCCAGGCAGCTCAAGTTTATGAAAGTCCTGCAGTAAAAGTCTTTTGCTTCCTGATGCACTTGAGATATAATTAATAATGTGTTGGCTGACTGTTTTAGACACCATGCTTAGCACACTGATGTCTTTCACTACCAAAAGGGGAAAAAAATGTTTACATGCAAGAACATCACTATTAGTACAATCTATTAATTTACAAGTAACCTCATTAATAATAATAACAGTAAAAATAATAAGCCCAGTGGGAGGGGGGAAGAAAAATCTTAAAATTATTTCAAACCTAGTTTCCAATTAATTAGAAACATGTTTAGTTTAACAATCACATTTCCATGCCATTATAATTAGAGGAATGCTTTAAAGAGTTAAGGAATTTTGTACTTTTTCATTATCTCCTTAGCTAACAATGCTATAAAACATGAGAAAACAAACTTTATGTGGATTCCATTCATATTTTAGCAGGGCCAAAGATGACAAACACAGTGCCTTCTGCAGCCCACGTATATAGTCCCCAAACCGCACCTGTTAAATATTTTAAGATTATTTGAAATATTTCCAGTGGTAAAGATTTAAAATTTCCAAGGGTTGATAAGGATTGAGAATCTGAGTCAAAGGCTTTGGAAAGATAGCAGAATTGACGATTACTTCGTCTATATTTCTGGTTGGGGATCAAGGTGAAGTTGGTATTTGTTCTGGATGTCATCTTTTTTCTTGTCTCATCAATTTCACCTGATTAAAAAGAAGTCCCCCCCCCAAAAAATAAATAAATAAAAGGGAAAAAGAAGAAAGGATATTACATAGCTGTCTTTATATGGTATCTAGTATATGGAGTTTTCCAACAATACATAAATTAATCTCAGCATCATTTGAAAAATTTAAAAATTCTTTAGCACTTAGTGAACTACTTTAGGTAGTATAAGAGTGTTAGTAGATAATGAGACACACATGTTGTATTTAGAGGCGCTAGTCTAAGAAAAAGAAGCTCTGTAAGTATAGTGGTTACGAATCAGGCTGCTAACCTCAGGGTCAGCAGTTCGGAACTACCAGCTGTTTTGCGGGAGAAAGATGAGGTTTTCCGCTCCCGTAAAAATTTACAGTCTCAGAAACCCTGTATAGGGTCACTATGAGTCAGAACCTACTCCACAGCACATAACTACCACCACATGCTAAGAAAAAGAAATATGAAAAATAAAAAGTAAAATATTTAACACAAGAATCGATACAATATATAGTCAATATCTATCTAATAATGTTACTTTTGCAATCTTTATATTAGAAAAAATCAAAGTATTAATGTAATTTAAAATTTTGTAGTAATATTTTTTTCTATTAAAACTGAGTAGATCTGTTCTTTTGTTGTTGTTGTTGTTATTGATAAGTGCTGTCGAGTTGGTTTCAACCCATAGTGACCCTGCACAGGGTTTCCAAGGCTGTAAATCTTTAAGGGAGTTGAAAGCTTCATCTTTCTCCCACGGAACAACTGGTAGTTTCAAACTACTGACCTTGAGGTTGGCAACCGATTCCTAACCACTGTGCTGCCAGAGCTCCTTGTTCTTTTGTTAGAACCAATAAAAACAAAGAAATGAAAAGAGACTTTAAGTGTGTTACTAACTCTTAACAGCTTAAGTCCTGGTATGATGCTGTGGGTTAATGTGCTGGACTGCAAAGTTGGTCTGAACCATAAAGTTGGTGGTTCAAGCTCACCAGCTGCTCCTTGGAAAACTTATACAGGGTCGGTGTGGGTTAGAACTGACTCGATGGCACTCAACAACAGCTTAAGTAGGCTGTTTTGCGATTACCAATGATGTGCTCTATAATATACAGATGAGCAGTGAAATTGTTTTGTAAAATGAGTAAGATAGGATAAGTGAATAATAATAGCTCTTTCTTTAATTTTACTTTTTGTTAATAAGTTATATATAAATCTTAGAAAAGGTCTGCACAGCTTTATTTCAAAGTTGAACATTTCCTAAAGAAATTTATTAAAATCACTGATTACTTACCCTAAATAAGAATTCTTAAAAATACGCATTGCATACCATGTCTTTGTGTCACTTCAGCGTTTAAATTTAAAAAACACTGTCTTTCATATAGATATGTACATGTATATATGTATATGTGTGCATACATGTATACACACATACATACATGCATATGTATGGTTTCTTGTTTCTGAAAGTAACGACTAAGACAGTGCATCAAAATGTTACAAATATATCTGACCAAAAAGCATTTTTTCCTTTAGGCACAAAATTGTCAAAATCACTTTGCTACTTAGTCATCTTAAAAGGTTACATATCAATTTAGAGCAATTTAATAATAGTAATATATTGGAAACATGACATAAATCGAGTGCTTAATGAAAAGTATCATCTGAAACAAAACAATACCATAGATAGTACTTTGCTTTTAATGAGCATTTAAATCAGCTAGTTGCTTTAAATAATTATTAAAATGACACAAATAACATGCTCATTGTTGAAAAGTTCACAAAACACAGTTAAACAAAAATTAAATTTACTTATAGACGCTTTGGTTTATACCCTTCCAGAATTTTACACGCATGTGTCTATTTTTAACAAAAAATACCTTTTACTTCCCCCAAAATACTTGTAGGTATGCCAATAGATAGTACATCTACAAGCACATATATATTTTAATGGCTGTGCATAATTTCACCAAATGGAAGAAATTTAATCTATTGAATCTGTAAGGTTGTTCTCATTTTTTCAGAGTACGCCTTTTTAAGCATTTTCATTATAATAAAATACAAATATTTCCTGTTTCTCAAGCAGAGACTCAGGAGGGCCTGTCTTCAGAGACTCACAGGGCGACTTTAAAGCCAGTCAGTCACTAGGTTTGAGCCTTTAAGAGGGTTCTAAGAGCATGGGCCTCTGGGTCTGCACAACTGACGTCTCCCTCGTATCTGAACATTTTAGGGGAAACCGCAAATTTTTCTGAAAAATCTAAAGGTGTAATCCTAAATGATTTCTGGTTTTCTCTCACCCTTCTGGAGGAAGAGAATAACAAACCAAAATGACAATATAATGATATTTGGGGGCCCTATAGGATAAACTATTATTTTTCCCCTTCTTCAGAGAAAAAAACGTCAAACAGCAATTCTCCGGAATTTTTGCTTTGTAGTCTTAACATAAAACCCTTTAAAGAGAACAAAATATCTCCGAAGAGTAAATTAGGAGGACCATAAAAGAGAAACTGGCCAATGTTAGCATTAAAGAACATTATGACACATAGTTTTATCCCCTTCAAGCCATGTAAAGATGAAGCTATCACCTCAAGAAAATACTGAGGGGAAAGTTTTTAAAGCTTTCCGGCTAGAGTCACAGGAAAATGAAATTTAGTTGTTTTGCCCCACCATCCTCAAATTTCTTAATGTTTAAAAAGGTTTTTTTCCTCAAGAATTTCCCGTCGAGATGAATTCGGTACTGGTTCGCTCGGAGACTGCGTTTCCACTCGGTACTTGCCCGGGTGGCCTCGAGCGTATTTTAGAACCCTCCCAGGAGCCCCAGCGGGAAGGAGACCCCGCCCCTATGAATAGGAAGTAACACCGACTCCCGTAGTGCCCTCTCCTTCCTCATGAATAATTTAGAACTCTCCCAAGAGCCTCAGCGGAAAGAAGGCCCCGCCCCCTCAAGAATAGCCGCTAACACTGATTCTCTTAGTGTTCCCCTCTCCCCCTCGTGAAATTTAGATATTCCCAGAAGCCCCAGCGGGAAGGAACCCACTCCCCTCATGAATAGCAAAATACTACGGCTTCCATAGTGCCCGCCCCTTTTTCATGAATAATTAAAGAGATGGGTTGCTTGACTCTTTGCTCCAATTTGAAGACTGGAAGAGGCTAGAACCGTTAGCGTCTGGGGGAGGGGAGGGTGCAAACGGAGAACCTGATCTCCAAACATCTTCCTTTCCCTTTTTGAGCTAATTTATGATTTCCCAGAGCCCACCCCCGTGGGGTAAATTATACAAGCTTTCATCAAAACTTGCATGGGGAAAAAAATCTTCAAGCTTTCCTTTTGAAAAATGATCTGGGTGCCTAGAATCGAAGGAAGATGAGTACCTTCAGTTTCTGAAGATGGAATCCAAGGCAAATCTTTACAGCTTGGTCATACACCCTTGAAGATTAAGTTTTCATTCATTCAATAACTATTGGAGTCCATTCTGTGTTGGGCAACGGCGTAGGTCCTAAGGCTACAACAGAACAAGCTCCTATCTAATGACATGATAGAATTAAGACAAAATGACTAGATTGTGAGTAGTGATATGGAGGAAATACAGAGAAAGCGAACAATAGATGTGGTGTGATGTAGTGGTGGGCAACTTTAGATGATCTTGGCTCTTTGAGGGAATGACGTCTAATCTGAAAACAAATGAAGGAGCCAGTCAGGAAAACGCTGGAGGGAAAAGAGAACAAAGACCCTGAGGGTGGGAAAGATTTTGGAATTTGCAAAACTAGATAGCTGGGTCTATGAACAAGCAGGAGAGGTAGGCACAGATTGGAATATACAGGGCCTCAAGGGCATAGAGAGAGGGCCATTTTAGAACCCACATAGGAGCCCTGGTGGCGCAGTGGGTTAAGCATTGAGCTGCTAACCAAAAGGTGCGCAGTTCAAACCCATCCACCATTCTGAGGGAGAAAGATGAGGCTTTCTGTTGCTGTAAAGATTTACGATCTTAAAAACCCAAAAGGAGCAGTTCTGCTGTGTCCTGCTAGGTCACTATGTGTCAGAATCAATTCAGTGATAGTAGGTTGTGTTTTGTTTTATTTTATAGACCCTATACGTTCCTGATTTTATAAGACCTATACACTGAAGGCATTGGCAAAAACAAGGCTGTAGGAATTGACAGAATACAAATTGAAGTGTTTCCACAAACTAATGCATATAAACTAGTAATGTTTATATTACTCATTTTATGAAACAAAATGTCTATAAATTGTTGAATAGAAAATTAGCTTGCTCTGAAAAGTTTCACCCAAACTAGATGTCATGGTTAAGGTTTTGTGTCAATTTGGTTTGGCATTATAATCATCATCCCTTCTTTTGAGTCAGATATGATGTAATCACTCACTTGATAAGATCTGTTATGAATTGAAAGGAAATTTCTTCTGGGATGTGGCTTGCTTCCAGTATTCGGGGACACTCTTGGCAAAGCTCACTTGCTTTTTGCTGCATCTGGCTCATTCATCTGACTTCTGGTTCTTTGAACTTGAGTCAGCAGCTTGCTGTATTGCCTGCCATTTGTGGGAGTTGTCAACAGTCTGCTGTCTGACCTGCCATCTTGGGTTCACTAGCCCCTGCAGCTACAGAAGAAGCCTCAAGCTCGACATCTGAGAACAGTAAGAGCAGCCTTGAAACTAGCTAGCCTCTACAACTATGCCAATCATTTTCTTGAGATAAGTCTCTCTGTGTATATACATAAAAAAGATTCATTGGTTTTGCTTCTCTAGTGAAGCCACTCTAAGACATGACAGTAAAACAATTCAATTAACTATACAATTGAGGAGTTTCCACTTTGCCTTCAATGAAAAAATTATTGATCTGTAATATAATGACAGGAGTCCTGGTGTGGTGCTGTAAAATAAGCATGGGAGTGTTAACCACAAGGCCTGAGCTTTAAACCCACCAGCCACTCCTTGGAAACCCTATACAGCGTTGTTATGCTAATGTAAATGGAAGAAATGAG